GCATTTAAATTATCAATACCTCTCTGGCAGCGAGCAATGATGAAWGTGGCTGTCTCAACTGGCTTTCTTGGTGCTAGAACTGTGTTACCATCTGCATCTCTAATGTACCTCTTGGAAGAGTATRATAACACAGTTCTAGCCCTCATAGGAAATGATATCGCYCTTCCTTCTCCATGTTGGTCCAGGGCGTACCACCAGTACTCTGGGAGCTCCAATCTCGAGAAGTCCCCCTTCTCCRAAAGTATCCAGCCTGGATGGTGTTGGSCTGYCTTCCCTTWACCATGAAACATGARCCTCCAGATATCATGATSTAGATRAATTGATATCTGGGGGTTCATGGACTTTGATTTGAGGTGYTTTAGTATKCCATCCWGGAAATGTKCACAAAAACACTTGACCCKTKATCTGTCCAGATCACAGTGGTTTCCTTTGTGGTAATTGCTACATTTTAAAGAACAATTGATATTAGAACAGGCTACACTACTGATATACAAATAGAAAAGCAGCATTTATAATTGCCTATAAGTTTACAATCAAGCTAAGTAACATCAACATTGTTATGCATAAAGAAATAAAGAAATTATACTGACCTGATCAAGTCATTACTGAGATGTCCTTCTGGCTCCCAGCTGGAATACTCAGGTGGCCATGACTGCCACATCACTAAGTATTCATTCTCCTGAGAATAAGAAAAAACAAAGTCACTCTTAAAATTCATTTTGCATGGATGGTTCTTCATTTTATTTCTTAAGACATGCAAGCTTAAGGGAGCCTTTAATCTTAATAAAGCAGGATATATCTATAATCATTTATAATATATTATGTTAGAATCTATCAGTTTTCTATTTTTCAAAAATCAAATAATTTTATTTGTACTAACTTAGATTTCAAAAAAATTGCATTTAAAAGTCAGTTTTTACCATATAATGAATCAACTTACATTACATTCTCTTGACACTCTTTTTGAGACGATTCTCTCGATTTGCCAAAATCCAGGCAAAACCTTTCTTTTCTTCTTTTTTCGACTATTAGTGTCTATTAGACAGCGGCCCAGATCATTCAGGTCATTATAAAAGCCCTGGGAATGCTTCGATCGCTTTGACATTTTGAAAAAGCCGCGTAGCCTCACAGGGAAAACCGCTGATGGCGCGCCCGCGAGATGACCGGCATTTCTGCCCATGATCTTTGTTTAGGGATAAATTCATCCCCAATGTTTTTACAGTTTGCTCGGACTGTTCTAAATCCAAGTCAAACTCCAAGTTGACTTCACACAGCTCAGGTGATAGACCTTTGAGTACTTCCGTATTGCTTGAAGCCCATTTGCGTAAGTCAAATCCTCCTTCTTTCATAAGATTAACAAGTTCTTGTCGTGTACGCACTGCCGTCTCAGCATCATGTGCTCCCGATAAGCAGTCATCCATATACATGTCCCTCCTCACGATARGTTCCGCTAAAGGATATTTTCCTTCTTCATCATTGACTAGTTCCAATAACACACGCTGAGCTTGGTAGGCGGACGAAGCAACTCCAAATGTAACCGTTCATCAGACATTCATTGAGAGAAACTCCATTTGACGTTTTTGCTGACGCATCAAACACAACTCTTACTTTTGTTGTAGAACTTGATTCCCTTATCACCGCATGATGAGGCATGTAGTAAACGTGATCAGCGTTTTTAAGAATTTTTTTAAGAATTAAAATTCTTCATCTGGCACCTTCTCGGCATGGCCTTGATCAAAATAATCTTTCATAGCCGCAGAGTAGCTTTCCTTRAGCMCGGGATCACGTGCTAATCGCCTTTCAGTCTGCTCAAGCCTCTTTAAAGCTACAGATCGGCTTTCCCCGAGACTACAATCAGCCTTGAAGGGTAATGATACCACATATCTACCATCTTCACGATAAGTWGTTGCCTTGAAATGCTGTTCACACCTTTTCTCCTCCAGAGATAGATTTGTGGCTGAAGGAATCTCCTCGATTTCCCAGAACCTCTTCAAAAGATCATCTGTTTGCACTAAGTGAGCCAGAGTGCTATCAGAATTAACATTAAGACACGGCGACGCAATTGAGTCAGTGACAACCCATCCAAAAATCGATAACTGAGCAAGCATTTCTCCATCAGGACGCTTTAACACTCCAACATCGCCAACCATAAGACGAGCATAAATATCACCTCCAAGTAGAATGTCAATTGGACCAGGTGTGAGAAAATGTGGATCCGCTAACTCAAGAYTGTCCAACTGAGGCCAATCAGTTCCAGAAATAGAACGCCTAGGAATAGTCGATGTGATCCTATCGATAACCAAAGCGTTCACCAAAACACAAGAACTTGAAGACACAGGCGATAATCGTAAAACAACATTACGCTTTACCGTACCATTGCAAACTCCTCCGATACCACTGACATTAACAACTCCATTAATAGACGTTTTAAGAGTGGATGTCATCATAAATCGAACACATCGTGGCAACAGTCAAAATTTAGATTTTGCTCATACTTTCATGATTAGTAGTCCTACTGGACCTAAGAATCGAGGTATACTTTGTTTGATCAAATTACTTATATTTTTCGAGAAAATCGAGAAAATCGATTTTGCCAAAATTTATGCAAATTTCACGGTCAAAAATTGGTAAAGTTTAGTGATCTCGTTTTCGCTTAAAACTACATAATATTTCTTAAAACTTTTCAAGCATGTTAAACGTTGTATGAAGTATGTTTGAGCTGAGTTTCTTTGAATTTCGTGTTTTTGTTTATGATTTATAATTTATTTTGTTGGACCCGTTGAAAATTGTCAAAAAAGTACCAACATTTTAAAGAAATGTTTTACACCTTACTACGCAAAAAAACTTAGAGAAATTTACAGATTTGTAAGAACTAATAATGAGCTTTCAGATGATATAAAATTCATTTTGGGTTTTTATGTTTAGGCCATGAAAACAGTGTGGACTTTCGAGGAATTTTTTTGAAAATTTGCATAATTCAGTACGATCAAAACAAGTGTGTAGCTTGAATAAATTAAAAATTGTTTGATTTTCTTTTTCAAGATACTAAAATGTTCAACTTTTTATTAGATTTTTGGGCCAAAATTTTTTGTTGTGCAAGGTACTAAAGTTCTTGTATACCTCTTTTTCTCATAAAAAGCGACCCCACAATGCCCGACAAAGCACTAAGAATGTGAAATGAAATCTACAACTCGTAGACAATATAATAACACTGTCGCATAGCTTTTCACTTTAAGTTAATAACATGGAGTTTCAGTGCTCGTTTAAAGATTTCGTTAACATAGCTGGCGCTTGTGGTTGGAAAAGAACTTACCGGGACAAAGATTCTTTTGATTTCAGTGGCGAGAAGCTATTGGTGCCCTTATTGTCTTGTGACAAGGAAATTTCTAGTCACAAATCGCTTTTTGCTTTCACGGATCCCTCCAACGAGATCGACCTAATACTCTGCCGTGCAGGTATCTTTAGTAGGCCCGCAAATATTCAAGAATGGGTTATTTGCTCAAGCCATCGATACTCACTGGGTTTGGGCTTGACCAGAGGCTCAAACACAAGATGTACAGTTCCCGCCACTTTGTCAAATCATGGCAAGCGAAGGTTGAAATGGCCTAGATATGAGCGTGGAATAAACAAACAKCAATCCGAGGAAATATTATCGCATACTGGAATTTTCMTGCCAATTGGCTCAGGTATAGAAATAATGCAGACTTTATATGAAAACATATTCACTTATATTAACCAWGTTTTTTTTCTACAACAGGCATTTGCTCTAGGTGTAGAAAAGAGCTGCTAAATGTAAAAAAGCAGGAAAATCAAGACTTAGGGGTACTTTCTTGCGATGTGACTGAAAGYCTTGCGAAACTCAGTTTAGTAAGTATTCAGCGTGAATGTTAGACACGTCAAGAATCCAACGGCAA